ATTTGTACATTCGTAGTGGCATTTGAATGCGATGTGGCCTATACAATGACTTGCGGGGGCCAGCCGATGTACAAGTCAGTGTTTTTATCCTCCCAGACAAGTCTGGTACCAATTAACCGACCCCGGAGGGATGGAAGGCTTGGTTGGCCCGGGCGACTCACGACCCAGGATTTGATCCCCGGACCGCTCGCGTGGTAAGCGCGCCACTTGTCACTACACCACTTCCGCCCTTTCGATGTAGAGGTACTCTAATGCGAATCGTCCTATACGCTGATCTGCGAGCGCCATCCACTAAACATGTCAGATTTTTAGGCTTCTGGAGCCACTTCTGTACCAAGTAACGCGCTCCCGTTAGAGGAAAAGATTGGTTGGCATGGGTGGAGTTTGGCCCGAGATTTGCGCGTGAAAACCGGCGCCACTTGAAATTGGACCACTAGTATTTTGCAAAAAAGGCCAAAACCGTACAGGATCAAAGAATTTTTACACAGTATGGCTCACGGTATCGACAGCCGCCGTATGCAACTTCAAACGCTATGGAGATTTGCCGTGATCCCTTCACTTGTTACCGTAATTTATGGCTTCCTATTTTTACTATCCTAGTATAAATAACCTCTTGATAAAAAAGCAAAGCTACTCTTACACGTCTTCTTCCCAAAAGATGTCGACCTCTTTTTAGTACCCTAGGGCTGCCGTTTTGGTACCTCTTTGCTTCTTCCGAGGTAGACTTTTTGTCCCTTCACGGTAGCGGTCAAAAGTGTTCGCGAAATCGATTTTCAGTGCACTTTCTCTCCCTCCAAAGATTGATATATCATGTTTTAGTGTTTTTATATCCTCAAGTTTTAAAGAATCAGGATATTCAAAAGAAAAATTTTCGAGGTCACCATTGATTTTTCTGGCAAAAAAAAGAGAAGCACGAAAAACCGTTTCGGCGAACACTTTTGACCGCTACTGTATATCTGAGTTTCTTTTCAGAGGAATTTCAACTTGATGCACTATATATTCCCTGATTTGAAAGAAAGTGAAAGTAATTGTACTCCGCTTTGTCCGGCTTTTCTTGTTGGTAGACAATTAGTGTGATATTGCAGGGAAGCCTCCATGTCGCCAGAGAAACTTATTAGTTCTAAGAATATCTCTGAATAAGCGAGGCTCCAGTGACGTAAGACAGCAGCAAAAGCTTTACAGTTGTTCTCGGAAAGCTTATCCTACGAAGCCATTCCTCTGTAACCAACGTCGCACTGCTATTCATTAGGAGGATGGATTGGGTCGATTCTTCCTCCAAAGTGGTTACAGAAGGGTAGATGCATTCCACTGAGGCAGGTCTAGTTGGGTTACCTTAATACTAATAATATACTTATGATGCATTCGAAGCACCAGCGTGATCAAATTGCAGTGTCATCTTGACACAAGAAATTAAATTAGTAGTTGCCAGGTAATCGGGGGGGAGCGGATGATTGAACAAAAAAAAGGTCCAGCGTCGCGAAACATCGGAATTCAAGAGGGCATACATCTTTTTATAATCACGGCTGTATGACGGTGAATGAGCCTGGCAGAGAAGAGAGGAAGGAAGAGAGCAAAAAGGATGGGGGAGCGCAGACACCTCTACAGTGTGGGTGAGCTGCCTCGGAACTCCCCCAGCGCCTCATCGCCCCCTTTCGAGCCATGAAAACGAGACATTTGCGATCTTAGTGTACAGGTTCTATCCTGCCCATTGCGAAGTATTATCATCTAGGACTCATTAGTTGATTAATCAAACGCCAAACTTACTATGAGGGATATTATCACGAATGACAATTGTGATACTGATCACCGAAGAGCGGCTGACATTGGAAAACGACTTTTGAGGCGCATTGGGTCTTTTTTACATCTCAACTATTTCAAGAGCCTTCCAGAAATCGACTGATTTACGCCGGGCGCATCATACTGTAATATTTTTTCATTTTTTTACAGAGCCATTCAACAGTATAGACATTTTCGTATTCTTTTCACGAATTTGCTGCGGGAAGTCGATGAGCGAGTTGATTCGTCAGCATAGCCATAGTCAGAGGAGGCGCTCTGCCAAGCCAGGCATGCAGCCGCCATAGCTCAGTCGGTTAGAGCGTGAGAGCGGGGTCTAATAAGCCCAAGGTCGCAGGTTCGACCCCTGCTGGCGGCAAATGTTTTCTTTCAATCGGGATTCGCTAGCCTATTTGATTCTTTTTTCTTGCAATTGCGTCCAATCGGGATCAGAAGGTGATGCATGTACATATACAATCCTTACTGCTTACGATTAGGAAGGAAGTGACAGATCGGAATGTTGCAGATTGAGCAACACACGTTGCATCAGATAACATCGAGACTCAAAAAACGCATGAATTATTGACTTTTTTACGACCATCGTCAGGCGATTTCCTTCCTGATAGATATACGTTATTGTTCCATGTACTTTCCATGCCTGCAACGCATAACTCTTTTTCGAAGGTTTAGCCTGAAACTGCCAATTTTCATAAGTTCCTCATTGAAATGCTCCTAAATTACTTTTTCGACAATATTCTCCAGTTTAGCTACCGTAACCGGCCAACCTCTTCAGAGAAAACCGTTTAGATGTTTCGCTTTACGTTTAGAGTGGCATTCTGACGACGAATCCTTAAGACTGAAGATCCGCAAAGAATCCAGCCAACGACGCATGAAGTTTGAAATCCCTTAATCTCACCACACCTGAAACCACTCAGGAACAAAAACCGGTCGAGCCGTAGAACCATGCACAGAACTACATATGAAGCCTTTCAAAGGGCATCAGAAAACTAGTTTCTCGAAATGTGCAGAGAAATTTCTATGAAATTTGCGCATTTCTCGCAATTTTTGCCGTTTCGCTGTTTAAAGGCTGTTTACAGACAGTGGTCACTGGAGCTGGGAGGCGGTACGGTTTTGATGACGCCATAAAACGCCATTAGTCGGCCAGACCCCTAATCGCACTTGATATGACTGGGACTGTCTCTTACTGCCCTTCCACCAACGACGTTCAATGACGTCATCGAAAACACACCGCCATCCAGACATCATGGTCGCTGCCTTTAGGTCAGCCAACGCAAAACATACACAACTCAACGGTTGGTCTTGCTTTGAAGAACACAATAGACAGTGTGATTTTAGGCTCACGCTAAAATTTGCGATTACCACATTTTCGCGCTTTTTGAGAAAATACGCTAATAGCCATTGGCTTTCCCATCCCTAGAAATCTTTCATCAAATTCATTTCCGATTCAATTATCCGTGAATTTTTTTGCGAGCAATTTGCGGTGACTCTGAAGGGGGACTCATTCACTAGAAAATTGTACTTCTTCAGAAGCTTGAGAGCAGGATATAAGAGCGAAGGTGAAATCATTCATTTAACATCGTGTTCGACAATATTCGTGGTCCCTT